TATCACATATTTTCTCACTTGACACCATATCATATATTTCTAACATTTAATGGTTCTCTGTGTTTGATATTGAAAGTTTTAAAATCATATACATTGTTCCCATTCTGAAGATTACGAGTGCATCTCGTCGAAATTATGATACCTAATTCGTGCATGATTTGAAAATAAAACATCCTGTTTGTGACAGCCTTATATTTTTTACGACGATTAGCTAAATACAAGTTTTCAGGAAACAATTTCCAATATATTCTGAGACAAAATCAGGTTAAGAAAAAAAGACGACAAGAATAACAATTCAAAATCAGAGTTATTACGGATCGCATTGAAATCAGTGTATAACAGACAGATAACTCATCTTTTTCAAGGGATGCACGAGTGACTTGAGAAATCCTAGTGTATCTTTAAGTAAAACTAAGAGAGAAACGTTGTCAGTAACAAACAAGCGTTTGTGTGTGTATGTGGCCGACCTAGTCAGCAATTAAAGTTTAGCCACTACGGTAAAAATTTTCAGCACTATAGTACGCAACAAAAGATTTTCATCCATTTTTCTGGCTGTGTAAGCCAGAAGAATAGCTTCGTTAAAAATGGCACGTTGAGAGTTAGACAAATTATTTTACACTAATGTCCTCCTTCTTTGCTTACATCTTACAGCAGAACTATTACTACTTAACTCTTTGATACCTAGCACATGTCTAAGGGAAAGCTTTTATATTTTTAAAAGGTGCGAAAGTTGTGTCATATCAGTCCAATAATCTGTAAACTAGAAGCATGGCTTTCGAAATGCATTCAGCTAGAAGCACAACATAACAACAAGGATGATAATGATGACAAAGATTTATTCAATACGAATGGTGAAGAATTTTTACGATTAATTGAAAAATCATTTGGTCCAAGTGTTAGAAAAATATTAGAATACCATGATGTTGAGACTATAAATATATCATTTTCTAATGAAGGTAAATCTGCAGGCTCATTTTCTAGAATTGGGTATAAGAGAAAATTAGAGAAAAATAAAAGCAAAATATTATTTATAGTTATACTCAGTTAGCCTGTGAAAATGTATAAAACTGCTTGCTATAAACCTCAAGGAAAATATTCAGAAGATTTCTTCATCTTAGCACCTTGTTGACACGCCCAGGGACTGGCAATAGCTCGTTGTTGACACGCCCGGGCGTGGCAATAGTAATAATTTATATTAATAAAAAAGGGTAATTATAACATTGAGAACTCATAGTTCTCATAGTTCTCAATGTTTTCAAAGTTCTCAATGCACTGTCAGTGTTTTAAGTTCTCATAGTCTGCATAGTTCTGTATCGTAGTCTTTCGATTGACATCTATGAGAAGAAAAAGACTAAACATCACAACAGTCGATATATCAGTAGTGAACCGAATATATTCTTATTTTAACTTGAAGAAGCTGAATGATAACTTATTCAGAATAAGTGCACAGCGAGCAAGTTGAGAGATGTGAATAGAATCGTGCACTTATTTTGAATGTAAGTTAGAAAAGCTTACACGTGCCAGCTTTTTTCTAACCAACTTCTCTTCCTTATCTTTTCCTCTTCTACAAGGGAACTTTTTCTTGTTATCGGCCGTTAGTATTGAGTCATTCTGTGACCTGTTGGGTTTTTCACAGTCTCTTTCCATCGTTAGCATATATAAGTATGTGTATGCCTCACTCTTACTTATACCAGATCACCCAGGTCCTTCTATCCATTCTTCGAGTAAGTATTTTTACTTTTAAACTGGTTATACGATTTTTAATGTATTTCTTTTTCCTTTAGTATCCATTCGTTTCAAATCATACCAAAAAAAAGAAAGCAATGAAAGCTGTTTCGATCATAGTGATATGCCTGATCGTGGCAATGCAGCAGCAGGTGGGCTTTGCCGGTCCTGCTGCTGGTGCGACATGTTGTGCAGGCTGTTGTACTGCGGCATTGATGATTCCCATTATGGGTGGAGCTGGTTTTCTTGGATGTGTACCATTATGCATTGGCACTATGGGCACTTCGCCTCCGTGTTTATTCTGCGCTGCTGCATTTCTCGCACCAACAGCATGAACTTATCCTCGTGGTTATCTTCGGTTTTCGTTCATTGCTGTCTTTCGCCTTAAAGTATCTTCTGTCAAATATAATGATA